GGTCTTCTTTCTTCCAGGGAGAGGGAGAGGGAGAGGGAGAGGGAGAGGGAGCCTTGAAGGGAGAGGGAGATAGAGAGGGAGAGGGAGAGGGAGAGGGAGCCTTGAAGGGAGAGGGCCCAGATGGTCACAGAGTAGACGGTCCGATCACTGAGACTCTGAGCAAGTCACTGTTATAATGGCAAATTGTTTTCAAGGGAGTTGCTGTGACACGTGGTCGAGGATTTTTGAGGTCGATTAGCATTCGGATAAATTTGACTCGGCGATCTTGACTTATTGAGTTTTTTTGTACGGTATGAGTTTGACCGCGGGCCGCCCGGCGCCGGGCCGGACCCAGTCACTCCGAGCACGGTCCGGGCTGCGATAAAGTTCAATTTACTCGAAAAGTTCTACCAACTCTCGAGAAGTTCCTGTAAGTGGCTTGAAGACAGAAGCAGCAGCGACATGCAGCAGGTTGGTGTAAGGAGGATGCTGGGAGGAGGGGGTAAGGGAGGGAAAGGAGGGGGCTAGGAAGGAATGAGGTGGAAGAAAAAGATACGTGGTAGCCAGAAATGTTGTTTCCCCCTCTCGGTATCTCGATGTTGACCTGTGACAGACTTGAACCCTTCCAACTTGCTCCTCTCCTCTCCTCCTTTCCTCTGTACGTGTTCTTTCTATATCGAACCAAAGGAATTGATATGGCATGGCTTGTTGTTTTCTTCTATTCCCTTCCAAATCTCCCTCCCCTTTCTTTTCTTTCTCCTCCTTCATCTAGCGTGGAGAGACTTTGAAATGACATGTGGTAACAGCTTCAGAATGTTCTCAGAGCTACTGCGACGTCCTGCAGAGCTTTCAGATCCAACATGGATCTGCAGCGTCGCTTCATTCAGAGATCTTGTGATGACAGATCTTTCGGCAACAACGTCTTCCCGCGCATTGTGACACAGTATGATTATAACAAGCTCGCACGACACATGAACCCGGAGCTGCAAGAAGTGAGGACGATTGAAGCGACACTGACCTGTGTGCTTGGCACTGATCAAACTTTGGATCAGGTGATCGAAAGGGCTGAATTGGAAATTAAGATGCCGAAGCTGATGTAAGATGCTCCCTTGCTTTGCCGTCGGATGCCCTTGTTGCTAAACCTTCGTTGCTGTTTCTTTTTTTTCTTCTCTTATGTGGGTCCAGCACGCGGCAATGGCAACACTGGGATTTTCCAGACAAAGCAATCTATATAACAACCAAGCAATATGCGAACTATGTTGGAAACGAAAAAACTGCTGAGTTTTTGAGCAGGAAGGTAAAGTTGTTTCAAGCTGTGACTCCTCGCATTGTTTTCTCCTTTTCACTTTTCGTTTGTCGACCACAGGTTATCGCAGAGATCTTCCCCTTCAAACTTGGGCTCAGCGATGCAGCAGTCAAGAAACTCATAGAGATGGTACTGGATGCCTCAAACAAGCTCAGCACTAACCCCTGCTGGATAGGCGGGACCACGTTACAATCCGAAGAAAAAGATGATCAAGATCACGGCGACTGAACGACCCAACCGCGAGATGAACACTGAGAGGATCAAGTGGCAGGTGTGCCGCCGCTTGATGTGGTTAGATGACCTCATTGGTTGACCTCATCTTACAGGTATCACAATTGATCCACCAAAGCCGTGTCCTTGTCGGCGAAGTGAATTGACCGAGCAACTAAACAATCGAAGCTGATTCTCCATTGTGATCTCATAGAGATCGGGGGGCATTCGACAGTTTTGCTTGTCGCTTTACAAAAAATATACAGAACTCGAACTTTTGGCCTCTCAAAGTTCTCTATGCGAACTTCGATGAGAGCTCCATTCATCATCAACGATTGCCTTTGTGATAGGTGGCACCATGTCCGACTTTCTTGATACTCTAGGCCCGATGTCAATAAGCTGGCTTGTCTTCTCCTTTGCTCCGGAGAACGAGGCCATCACAAGACTCCTCTCGTCATCCCCAAGTACGATGGCGACAGACTTCAACCGCACAATATCTACAACAAACACCAGCATGATCTCCACCTTCTTATGCGCTTTCATCTTCGCCATCGTGCTTCTCAGGGACTCAACACGTGCGAGGACTGGCTCGGTATCTGTCGTCTCGATCACCGAGATCGCCAGCTTCCCTTGGAAGCTCTTTCCATCAAGTTCGAACACTTTGAGATCGTTGGCTATGAGATCCTCCGGGTCCATCGCTGCAAGCTCTTCCGACTTGGCCTTGAACTGCAGGCTCGCAAGCTCGTCGAGGCTCTGGTACCCTGTCTCCTCCGCGAGCCTGTGAGCCATCTTCCTGTCCCAGGAGGTCGTGGTTGGCGATCGGAGGTTCAGGGTGTCCGACAGGATGGCTGAGAGCATCAGGCCCATGGTAGACCTCTTGGGCTGCAGCTTCTTGGAGAAGAACTCAAAGGCAACGATCGCACTCTGAAAGCACTCACTGTCAGGCACACACCAGCACACCCCATACACAGCTCACCGCGCTCCCCCACGGTTTGATCTGCACCGGAATGGCTTTCGACGTGACTACCGTCTGGGACTGAAGAGCATGGTGGTCGATCACGCCAACCACCTCATGGTGGGCGATGGAGGGATGAAGTTGAGTCGTCTGTTGGAAGTCGATTAGCAGGAACTTCATCCCTCGTCCTCCTGCTTCATCCCTCCTCAGGTCCTCCAGCGCTTGTGGGCCCTGGACCCCCCAGTGCTTCAAGGCAAACCTCGTCTCAGAGTTGAACGCCCCTGTTGCTGCCGGAGTTCCTCCATACAGCTCGCATGCTGCTATGGATGCGGCGACCGAGTCCAGGTCAGGAGAGAGGTGGCCCACACAGACAGCATCAGAAGGAAACATCATGTCGACCGTTCCATCTTCAGCATTCACCGGCCATGCTCGATCTTGCAGCGCGATTGTGGTGGAAGCTCCTCCTCCTCCAGCACGATTGACGTAGGAGAAGCTCGTGGCAGCCAACACACCAACAAGCACGCCCAAGTAGAACTGAGTGAAAGAGTTGGAGCTCCCAACCATTATCCTGGTAGCCTAGAAGCAGAAGGAAGGAGGAGGAGAAAAGATGGCGGTAGCGGAGGATAGAGCTCAGGATAGATGGAGGTCACGGGGACGGGAGCCAGGACAGGAGATGCTGATGCTGCTGATGCTGCTGATGCTGCTGATGCTGCTGATGCTTCTGATGCTTCTGATGCTGCTGATGCTGCTGATGCTCTGGATGCTGCTGCTGATGCTGATCTGCTGCTGATGCTGATCTGCTGCTGATGCTGCTGCTGATGCTGGATGAGGATGTGGCAGGCGGGGATGGGGGCGGTTGGATGGGGTATTAGATTTTTTAACAACCGCCCTATAAAGAGGATGAGAGTTCAAAACTTTGCTGCCCTTCCAAAGATAATAGACTTTTAATGAGGCGAGCTCGAATGACAACAAATTTCACTTATGTTGAAACAAATGTTATTTAATTTTGGAATATTAGAGGCACATTTCAATCTCAAACACTCTCGTAAAAACAGGCTGTCCCCTCAAAGGAACTGGAAGGGACCCCCAACCCCCCGCATTACGTAATCACCCCTACTGTGTTCATTACACCCGTACTTTCTACTACCCTACCCCCCAAAATACACTTAATTGACTGTGATTACCTACCTTATGTAGACCAGAAGTGCCCCATGTCCCCTATAACCCCATCCCTCACCCTCCTTGTTGGACCCCTTACCCCTCACCAGTAGGAAGCGAATTCATGGCAAAGCTGGTTCCTGGTGAGTTGCAAGTTGTGGTGAAGACGCGAGAGAGAGAGGGAGGAGAAGAAGAGGAGAGAAGAGAGAAGAGAAGAGAAGAGAAGAGAGAGGAGAAGAAGAGGAGAGAAGAGAGAAGAGAAGAGAAGTGAAGAGAGAGGAGAGGAGAGGAGAGGAGAGGGGAGGGAGAGGGAGGAAGGGACAGGGGAAAATGATAACTTCATACCGTAGCAAGGTCAAAGGAATGTGCGAATCGAAGCAGAGAGTCATGTAAAAACAAGATTATGGCAAGATGGGGCAATAATGCAGGTACAAGATGATGTTTGCAGATACAGAGGCTTGTAGGCGAGGATAACTCTAGAAGTAGGATTGTGCACAGAAATGCCACGGACAGATTCATTCGTTTTCTCACTATACACCTCCATGTTCACTTATGCTTGCAGGGTCACTGTGTCTTTTTGTCCTGCTGTCGATTGGGCACACGGGGGAGTCTTTCATTTGCAGCAAGAATCTGTGCAGCCCGCATGCTCAGGGCAGAGCGAGAAAGGCTGTCTGCATCTCCAGCTTACCTGTCAGATCCTCTCTGCGACGTGGACTAGCAACGAGGATGCAGGTCTCGGTGACCAACGAGGACGACTGGTACGATAGCGACAAGTGGGAGAAGTTCGGCAAATCGAATGCGAGGGTGAGCGGCACGGAAGGGAGCAAGAGGGGAGAGGGGGAGAAGGAGGTGGAGGTGGAGGCGAGGTCGCAGGGGAGGAGGCGATCGGGAAGCAACGAAGTGCAGTGGATGAAGTTAGCAGGGTGTGATATCTGCTTGCCCAAGGATCTAAGGAAGCCAATAGACGGCGTCAGGTTCGCGGGAATAGTCCATTTCATCGGAGGCGTGTTCGTCGGAGCGGCGCCGAAGCAAGCGTACTCGCTGTTTGTGGAAGAGATGGTGAGTCAGGAAAGAATGATAGTCATCGCGACGCCATGCGCGGGGCTGACGGGAATGGATCACTACAAGGCCGCCTTCGAGGCAGCATACAAGTTTGCGGGAGCAGCAAAGGCCCTGCAGGGCGAGCTCGGCAGCGACATGTTCGATCCTGCGGAGCTGCCTACTATCGGGATGGGGCACTCGTTGGGTTGTAAGGTGCACCTGCTGATCAACTCGATCGAGGACACCAAGAAGATCATCGGGAGGGTGAGAGCAGCCAACGTACACATCGCCTTCAACAACTATGATGCCAAGAAGAGCATCCCTATCCTCTCTGAGCTCAGCAAGCTTCAGAGCGAGATGTCCAAAGGGCTGGCTGCGGCTGCTCCTGTCCTCGAGTCGATCTCGGCGTTTGCTAACTCCATGAAGACCAACAGCCAGCTCAAGGATGTGTTCGGAAGCGAGAGTGCAAGCAAAGTTTTCTCCTTCATCGAGATGTTGTCGGAGACGGGAAAGAATTACGCAGCGAACAACCAAGAACCCCTAGATGAGTTCAGGTGAGCCTCTCCCCTCTCCTTGCTCTCCCAGCTGACGCGCTTGCCCTTACTTGGCTCTCCTCCTCCTCCTCCTCCTCCTCCTCTTCCTCCTCCTTCTCTCCAGTCCCTCACCAGAAGACACCATGAGGCTGCTGAAGGACGAGTACAGCGTTTCTCGCAACCTTGCCGTGAAATTCCTCAGCGACGACATTGACCAGAGCATCCTGTTGTGCGAGGCCTTGAGAGACAAGTTCACCTCTCCCACGACCGGCATCGGGGGGAGGCTGGACCTGAAGAGACTGCCAGGCACGCACATCACGCCCAACACGCCTTCCTTGGAGAATCTCTACAACGGGAGCGCTGAGCCCATGGACGAGGCGCTGAAAGACCTCGAGACCATGTCGCGGGCAAAGGCGCTGGAGCTGACTGAGCAGGTTCAGGTACTGGCAGAGACGATCGTCAAATTTGCACAGGAAGAGTTTACAAGAGACAGGATGATGCCACAGGCAAGGAACCGCATCGAGAGCAGCTCGACCTGACAAGTCCAGCGCATGAGCATGAGGCTCTGATGCTCTAGGAGATGAGAAGACTGATATGGAACATTGTGGATTAGCCTGTGGATAGGAAACGAGATCGTAAAGCTTGCTCAACGGACAATAGCTCTGAATGTGCCTGTCAGAGGAGCTCCCACTTGCTGTACGCCGCGTCTCGCTCCTGAGGGAATCTCCTCCTCCTACTGTTCTCCGTATTGGTCCCGTGACGTCCGTGGATTTCGAAGAGAGCATCTTGCTTCGCTTTCATCAGCTGGTCCATGCGCTTCAACAAGCTCTTCTTCACCTCCGTCCCCATCGGCATCTTGAGAACAACCTCGCCGAACGCCATGATCGTGTTCATGCGGCCGTCGGCCCCTCCCTCCATCGGGGGGATAGCAACTCGTGGGATATCGCTCCGCACCCGCTTCTCCATCTTCCTCGCCTGCCTCCACGTCCCCTCCAGCAAGATGAAAGTCATTCCCGACGCTCCAGCCGTGTCATGCTGCTGCTCGAGAAAGCTCTCTACGGGGGTAGCGTCGTCCGATGGGTAGACCACACACGCTTTCCCCTTCCTTGCTTCAAGAAGCTCCTCCAGCCGATGCTCGTCGTCGGATCGCCCGCATACAAGCAGGTGAGTTCGAACAAGGGGAGAGCAAAGGTGCAGCAAGCTGCCTGTGTTGGACTTTCGCATGAACTCGTCAACGTGGCTGTACAGGATAACATCGATCGGCATGCCTTGAGGAGGATCGCATGCCACATCTTGAAACTTGCTGGCGCAGGAGCAGATGCACCATGCTGTCTGAAGCCAGCAGCGTCCACACATCTTGCTTCCTATCATTGCACTCTTGAGGGCGTACTTCCTCTCGATCTCCTCCCGCTCTCTTTCCCTTGGATCGATTCCTGCCATGCCGCAGCATTTGAGTTGCCGTATAGCAACGGCAGCATGGCATCTAGCTGCAGTGAATGATGAAGAAGGTGGGCATATGGAGAAGGAGAAGGCTCGCGGGAGAAGGAGGAGAACGAAGATGGTTCCGGTTGGCTTGCCAAACATTTCGATCACGACTAGAGTGACGAAAGGAGGAGGACGAGGAGGAGGAAAGAAGAGGAAAGAGGAGGAGGACGGAGGAGGAGGGGATCAGAGGATCAACAGATGTAGTCTCTCCGTCCTCCATGTGTAAGGAGCCGTGTTCGCATCTCCTTCCTGCCGCCAGTGCATTTTCCCTGGCCTCCAGGGGGTGGGGTATTTTGATAGGTCAGGTGCTGGGGTAGGTAGATAGACTAGTCGGTCACATGGTGGAAGCGTGAATGCACCGACGACGATAGGAAGAGAAGAAGGTGAAAGAGGAGGAGGAGAGGGAGGGAAGGATGGAGGAAGGGAGGAAGGTGAGGAGGGAGGAGGGAGGAGGGAGGAGGGAGGAGGAGAGCGAGAGAGGGAGATTTGGAGGTGGGGAGGTCAGGAGGTAGAGAGCCAGGACAGGCAGGACGATCGGAAGGAAAGGGAGATGACAAGACGAGGGAGAAAGCAAGAGGGAGGGAGATAGAAATGAGACAAGAGGATAAGAGGTGGAGAATGATAGGAATGAAGGAATAAGGGAAATGGAAGAAGGAAGGAATAGATTCCCTTCTCCCTCCTCCCTCCTCCGTGCCGTCCTGGCTTCCTTTCTCATTATCGCCTCCCTCTCTCGGGTCGAGTCGAGTCGCTCGACTCTAAGTGGATCATGGTTGGCAGAGGAACGATGGGCGGCGTCATATCCGCTGGAGCCGTCGCCTTCAGCGACATAGCAGAGCCTGTACCTTCACTCGCCAACGCTGTGCTCCGAGCCAGCGTCATGGGCGGGTCGACCCTCTTCTTCATCAACATCATAAGGCGCGTGCATCCTGCAACCTCTTGCCTGTTCTGACCTTGCCATCAGTGCATGGAGCTGCAGCATATGGACAGATCGCATGAAGAAGGAGGACGCGTACATCGCTGGGGAGGCGAAGGCAGCGCAGGCGGTCAACTGTCTGCATGAGTACTGCTACTATGAGAACCTTGCATGGGCCAGCATCTCCTGCCTGACAGGTTTGCTCTGCGATCTTGCGCTTCCTGCTCTTCCTCGGCTCATCGAGCTTGCCCAGCTGTCGTGGGATCCGCTGCAGCCTCGTGCAGAAGTAAGGTGCTGACACGGACGTGCCTGATCATCGTTGTGTTGAGAGGGATCTACTGTGAGTTGCTCCTGCTCCTGCTCCTGCTCCTGCTCCTGCTCCTGCTCCTGCTCCTGCTCCTGCTCCTGCTCCTGCTCCTGCTCCTGCTCCTGCTCCTGCTCCTGATCCTGCTCCTGCTTATTCCCCTCCTCCATGTCAATCCTCGTCCTCCTTCATGATCGTCTTTCTCTCCAGGTGCCAGTGTTCTCGTCTTCGCACTCGTCTTCAAGACTTCGTGTCCCTACTGGGCTCTGAGCAAATCGTGCGAAAAATCTTGCCTTCTGGCCCTCTAGCTTGTTGCCTTCTAACTACCTCATTCAGCTCCTGGATCCCCCTGATCACTTTCGCTCACGTCGTTGCGTTTGCTGGCCTCCTCCTTCGTTTCTCTGGTGCCATCGAGTCCCCGGAGAGCGTCCACGAGAAGTCAGGTGTGTCCGGTCAAGGCTCCTGCTCCTTCTCATCCTCCTGCTCCTGCTCCTGCTCCTGCTCCTGCTCCTGCTCCTGCATCTGCTCCTGCTCCTGCTCCTGCTCCTCTCCTGCTCCTCTGCTGCTCCTCTACATCCTGTCTTGCAACTCTACATCCCTCCTGCTCCTCAGCCTCCTTCCGTTGCTCTGCCGTCTTACAGACTGAGAGTTAGCGACTGTGATGGCTGGAAGTAGAAGCCTCGCTCGCCTGCTTGATGACGTCAACACCCCTCACAGCTTTGAGCTTGTTCCTCCTGTGTGCTTGACTTGTTCTTCCTTGTTGGTTCAGAGATGGAGCCTATCGACATGTTATCGGACCTCGACTGGGAGGTTTCTTGATCTTCCCTTCCTCCCGTCCTCTTCTCCTTCCCTTCCTCTCCCTTCTCTTTGTCCTGCCCCTGCCGCTGCATCTTGCTTTAATCCCTGCCCCTGTCCTCCCCATCCTCTCGCCACATGATCCTCCTCCGCTCCATACCCGGAACCACCTGATGGACCTCCCAGCTGGACGGAGACTGAGGTGAAAAGTTGCCGGCTACACACACCTGGAGGCTCAACACTGTCAACTTTGGAGGGCACCTCTGATTTCTCAGCTCTTTTTGACTTCATTTCGAAGGAGGTTTTATATCTACAACGCCAGCTCTCATCAGGAGCTGAATTTTCTCCGCCACGTCCTTGTCTTGTAACATCTATTCAACGATTATTTTTTTTCAGCATAAGTACAACCGTATTAGCAGTCATCACCACAGCAAGAGGCTATGACAGCAACAAACATGATTGAACGACCAGATGAGGACAAGGGAATAGAGATTTAGAGTGAGCGAGGAAGAGAAGGGGAGAAGAGAAGGAGCGGGAGAGGAAGGGAGGGAGAAAGAGGGACATTGGGGAGGTGAGGGAGAGGAGGGGACAAAGGACACACGGCGATAGAGGAAAAGGGAACTGACCTGCTGTATGACTCCCTCGTCGGAAGTTGAGTTCAACATCCTCATAACCTGCTGGACCTTCAAGTCTGACAGCGCGTCCTTCACTCTGCCGATCTTCCGTCAGGACACCCTGCCTCCTGCTGCGTCCTTCCTCCTCCTGCCTCCTGCTGCTTCCTCCTTGTCTTCTCGGTCCCCCTCGCCCCCTCCCAAACCTCCTGCTCCTCTTCCATCTGCATTCAAACTGCTCTCTCCCGCCCCATCGTCCTCCCTCCCCCTCCTATCGCAACCCCGCGCTCCCCAGCCTCCTCCCGGCGTCTTTCAGAGTCATTTCACCTCGCGTCGTTCTTGTCAACCTTGGGCCCGAACAACAACCCTGAGACCGCTTCCTCCTCCTCGTCGCTGTCGATCTCATCCCACTTGGAGTAGTCGGTGGTTCCCTTCCCTGCATCGTCGGTCAACACAAACGACGGACATATCTTCCTGCTCCCGCTCCTGCTCCCGCTCCTGCTCCTGCTCCTGCTCCTGCTCCTGCTCCTGCTCCTGCTCCTGCTCCTCACCACCATCATCATCACGACTACCACTACCATCACTGGCACCAGTACGAACATCATCAACATCGGCATAGCGTCATCGTTATCTTCAATATGATCTCTACTTGGATTCGATTTTGTCGCTGGTTTCTTCTTCGTATCTTGGTTGTTATGCTGCGAGCACAAGTCAGCAAAGGGTTTCGGCCCGTCAACAATCTCACTTCAATCTCCTGGATTAAAGACTTCCCAGCTGCTGGCGCCTTCTGCTTCATATCCTGCGCCAGCAGTTCTTCCACTACCGAGGTCTTGGACTTGCTCTCTTGCTTTTTCTCGTTGGCGCTCGCCTGCTCCTCATATCTCTCATACCTCTTGCCGAACCTGCAAGAACTTCATGAGTCTTGACGACAACCGCACTGGTAGCGCACAGGCCCATCATCTTGGAGAAGTACTTCTTCACTTCTTCATCATTCTGATACTTCATCCAGGCCTTTGGATCCTTGGAAATCTCGTCTATCGCGGTGATCAACTTCTGATTGTTCACGGCGCTTGCAAGCTGACGCCCATGTGAGAGGGAAGAGGGGAATACACGCCAGGTCTCTGACCTCAGTATCTGATTCCACTTCGCGCAGAAGGTCGTCATTTGCCTTCATCCACTCAGGAACGTCTTGGTTCTGCCCAACACCGTTGTCGTTATCTCCATCCTCCTCCTCCTCCTCCTCCTCCTCCTCCTCCTCCTCCTCCTCCTCCTCCCTCACCTCGACTTTGAGGGACTTCAAACCATCTAGAACTCCCTCCTTACGAGGATGCGGCTTGATCACCTCGATGCCGTCATCTTCATGCTGCCAAACTCTCTTCAGCCTCATCACGTCAACATCACAAGCTCTCTTCAGCCTCATCACGTCAACATCACAAGCTCTCTTTAGCCTCATCACGTCAACATCACAAGCTCTCTTCAGCCTCATCACGTCAACATCACAAGCTCTCTTCAGCCTCATCACGTCAACATCACAAGCTCTCTTCAGCCTCATCACGTCAACATCACAAGCTCTCTTCAGCCTCATCACGTCAACATCACAAACTCTCTTCAGCCTCATCACGTCAACATCACAAACTCTCTTCAGCCTCATCACGTCAACATCACAAACTCTCTTCAGCCTCATCACGTCAACATCACAAGCTCTCTTCAGCCTCATCACGTCAACATCACAAACTCTCTTCAGCCTCATCACGTCAACATCACAAACTCTCTTCAGCCTCATCACGTCAACATCACAAGCTCTCTTCAGCCTCATCACGTCAACATCACAAGCTCTCTTCAGCCTCATCACGTCAACATCACAAACTCTCTTCAGCCTCATCACGTCAACATCACAAGCTCTCTTCAGCCTCATCACGTCAACATCACAAGCTCTCTTCAGCCTCATCACGTCAACATCACAAACTCTCTTCAGCCTCATCACGTCAACATCACAAACTCTCTTCAACCTCATCACGTCAACATCACAAACTCTCTTCACCTTCCTCACGTCCTCACTTCTCTTCTCCTCCCCAAGAAATCCTCCCTTGAGCCCACCAAAGCTCTCCACGACCTCCAGGTTTTCAGGCTTGACTTTGATCTGCCGCTTATCCTTCTCCAGCTCCACCCCGAACTTCCCCGTCCCCTCGTCGTACTCGATGACTGTTCCCATCCTTCCGTTGTACTGCTTCGCGTTTTGCAGCCCAGCAACCTTAACATGTGTCCCCTTCACAAGGATTTTCTTAGATTCCCGGGGCCCCTCGACTACCTCCTGGTAGAGGCTTCTATCGACCTTGTTCTCGGAACCGTGTTGGACTCCGTTCGCCTGTCTGCCATGGAGTGAGAAGCTGAGGGAGGAACAGACGCCCGCAAGTCATGCGCATATGTAGATCGTATCATGTCCGTTGACCCAACGCATGCGAACACCTGGGAATAGGAAGATGATGGATTCTGACCAGCTCCAACCATCTCACACACTCACACACTTTCGTATTCATATCATCAGAAAGGACAAGAGAAAACAAAACTCAAATGGTTATCCTCTCTCCTATCTCCAAACATCGCAACTTGCAAGAAACATCCGGATTCGAGGCCATGTCCACGTTTGAGTTCGAAGAAGCTCAAGACATCACACAGTCATCCCAGCACAAACACAATGTGTGTGTGGATGAAGCACATTCTTCTACCTCCTTCTCCTCGACATGGCCAGCTCTTCCGCCATGTCCTCCAGCTCTGGCGGCTCGTCGTCGGCCATGGCGGGTTATCTCGAAAGCTTGCAGCGATTTCCACGTATACGAGGGATTGCTGCCCAAATTATATATGGAAAGATTGAAATGTAGGAATTCGTCTTTGAAATCGCCCGAGATTTCCTTCAAACCGATCAAATTTGACAATTTCATAGATACTTCAGAAAGTTTTCTCAAAGGTTTGGAAACTGGGAACGAATATTGAGAAACCGATGTGAAACCAGATGGCGGTCAGAAAAGCCACTAGGCAAAATGAGAGGGAACGCCATGCAAATGTGGCGGAAGCGATGGAGAGAGGAGAGGAGAGAGAGGAGGAGGAGGAGAGAGGAGAGGAGGAGGAGAGGAGAGGAGAGGAGAGGAGAGGAGACAAAGAAGAGAATGACAGGTGTGAGGATTAGTTGAGCTAAGCGCATAGGTCAAGACAGGGCAGATCATGGGTATGTTCTGAAGGAAACGTGCAAGAAACGACAAACGATGCGTTGATGGAGCTGAAATATGGAATGATCGATGTTAAGCAAGGAGGGTTAGCATGAGAAGGAGAAGTATGCTTGATTTCGATAGAAGATGAAGAACGATGTAAGAGCAGTGCCAAACATCAGAAGCAGCTTTCAGCCTTGAAGACAACTGCGCAGTTGGCGCTGGAATGAATCTCCGCTCATGGTTTTGTTGCAGGAACAAACGAGAGATCAGCGACAAGGAATATCACACAAGCAAGGAAGCTTGTTCGAGGATGAACATACCGATGAATGTGAAAACGAACGCCAAGGGCCTGACGAACAAGACGAACCAAATGCCTCCAGCCATCCCTTCAGGACGAGGAAAGTCGACCTCTTCAGTGCCCCATGGGGGACACGCTGCGCATGCCAAAGTCTCTGCAGCTTCAGAATCGCCGTCGAGCTCGCGGCAACCGTCGAGGGGGTGGACTGAACTGCCCTCCTCCCGACTGAAGAACGTCAAGTGCGCAGACCCTTTTGCTAGCAAGGCGAGCGAGTTCAAGACGAAGTTCGGCAGCGTGTTCAACGCAGGAGGAATCCCCTGCCGGTTGAACCATGGAGCGGTGAACATCAAGCTTCAGTGGAGCAAAGATCCTAGGGAGCTCGACTACGACCCTCTGCTCATCGTCTGCGCAGAAGGTCTGAGCGAGACCCAGCATCCGTACGCGTTCGCCGCTCGCGCTTGTTTCGAGCACATGCTGGCTGCTGAAGGAAGCTCGGCCAAGACCACTCCCCTCGTCCCTCGGATCATCCCTTGCCTGCGTGCGGCTCTGCTGAGCCCCAACAAGAACGTATTTGCAGGAGCAGTGGAAGCTGCTACTCAGCTCTCAGAGGTGGTGGGAGAAGCCATGAACCCGCACATCCACAACCTCGTCATGCAGATGAACAAGAAGAGCAGCGATAGGGACTTGTCTCCCAAGATCCTCAAGGTACGTCGCTCTTCCCCGTATGATGGTAGCGAGTGGCTGACGATCGTGGCAGGCGATGCAGACCTTCGAGGAATTTGGAGGAGCGGAGGCCCTCAAGGTTATCAAATCTAAAGTTCCGACTTACTGTAGCATACACATCTAAGAAACAGACTTCTCTCAAACATCCGCGCAAGCTTGCTGAGCGCGTCGGCAAGGGACCTTCCGTCGCCTTACCTGAGCATGTCACTCGGACATGATCTTGCGCTCTCACAAGGCCCGGCCGCAGGGGAGCAGGGGGCTCTCCTACAACTCTAGCGGGATCCTTAGGCCGTCGTGCGCCAGCTGGATGTCTATCCCCTGCGGGCCGTACTTGTCTCGTAGCCCCTGAGATCGTTGCGAGTCATTCGGGAGCAGGGAGGTCAGCAGCTCTCACCCGGTTGAATTCGTCGTGATCCCCAAAGTTGTCAGAGAGTCCGACGAGGAAGGTCTTCTTGGGTTTTACTCTCTTGGCGATCTGCCCGACGTTCCGATGAGATGGAGGAGGGAGGAGGGAGGAGGGAGGAGGTGACTGGGATGTGCTTTCGTTACCTCGACGGCTGTCGGCAATCCGATGTGGGTTAGGGAGTCCTTGTCGGGCCTGGAGCCCACGGTGAGCGAATCGTTTGCCCCCAGCCGGACAGGAAGGGAACCTGAGGCTGTCGAGGACGAGGATGCTTACTTCCCTGCGTTGAGGACAAGAATATGAGAACGAAGATCGAGGCAGGCAAGGGAGAAACTTCAAGGGCCGACCTCTCCTCGATAACTTCGTAAACCTCTTCAGAGATGGAGGTGAAGTCGGAGAGGTACACAACTCGGTCCCTGACGCCGAAGTCGAAGCCGTAGCAGATGCAGTCCGGCCCGTGCTGCATTGCTCAAAGTTCAGAGACCAGCGGCTCACTCACTGCAGGAAAGAACCTCAACGGGTAAAGTTCTGATCTGTGCATGAAGAGGTCATGAAAATATGTGACAAAGGGTAAGAAATGAAAGGTAAAGGATGAAGGGAAAGAGAGGAAGGGCAAGAGAGGAACAAGGATCCGCAGGATGGTGGCAGAGCCGGAGGGCGACAATGGGGATCGTGACCTCGAGGCCCATCGCGTTGAAGGTCTTGAGAGGAGGGACACAGTTGAAATCGAGCTGAGACACCATCCGTTGGAATTCCCCTTTCGACGTGTCAACCTGGCGGCAACGGTTGTCAAACCAACTTCCAGCACGTGACTGTGCCTCCTCACCTTCTTTGTAAGGTATGGGAATATGCTGCAAAGTGTCTTGTAAGTCGCGTCCGAGAGGAAGACAGGAGTCGGCGGCTGGTGGAGTGAAAAAAGGAGGAGGCAGAGGAGGAGGATGTAGCGGATGAGGAGGAGGATAAGGAGATGAGAAATCGCTGCAGTCAGCGACGAAGAACAGAGGGGAGAACAGGATGGACCGGAAGCGCCTTTCCCCTCCACTCTAGGTCCCAAGTCTAGAAGATGAATCAGGATTCAAGCAACCCCGACCTTCTTCCGACCCCCTCCCCCCCGCCCTCATCCTCAACAAGTGACCTGAAGCTCACGGAAGTCGTCCAGCCCAAGGATAGCATCGGCATGCTCGTGCGTTAAAACTATGGCGTCCACCGTCCTGATCTAAGGCCCATGATCAGACCCCTGCCCCCTCCCTCCCTCCCAGCTCTCTCACTCCAAACTTTGGAAACCACCGCAGGACGCTCTCCTTGAAGGTCTTGCCAGCATCAATCAGGATGTTCTTCGCCTCGCCCGACCCCCCATCAACGTCCCCTGGGTTGTCCCGCTTCCCGCCCCTGTATCGTATCAACAGGGACGGATTCCCCCTCCGATTCTTCGAGTCTGGGTTCGACATCGCTTCCTTGCAGCATGGACATCCTCCTCCAGGGCTCAGCGCACACCGCACAGAGGGTAGGCCCGAAGACGAGCCGGTCCCAAGGAAGATAATCTCTGAACTGCCTCCGTCAAGATGTAGCCCATTAATCTGCGCCTGCACATGGTCTGGTTGTCTCGTATCCTCGATGCTTCCAGTACCCATCTCTAGCACAGAGTGTCAGGTCGGAGAAAATAGGCAAGTGCACTCCAGGCTCAAATTCCCTGCCTCTACACCACTACGTCGACTCCTGGCTGGCTTGCCCACACCCTCCATGAGAGTAGCGGGAGCGGGGGATCCCTCTTTTCTCCGTCAAGCTCAGTGGATTGTACTCTTGTACTGACGGCAACATTTGTAGGATACAAGTTCTCACTCTTTTTCTATGTACACAACACTTCTCCCCTACACCCGGTCAAACATCCTACCTTCCACGAGCAGCCTGGAGACACAATCGACCTTGCTGCCTCGCTTCTGCACCTGCTGACCTCGCACTACGGGCATTAGTATGATCGCTGCCTACACTCCTTGCTCCTCTGCTCCTCCTCGCACTGACGCTTCCTAGCCACGGCTCAGCATTCCAACGAGGTACCACCTCCATTGCCAGGAGGCTTTTATTAGTAATTATTGAGTTCTAAAATCAAAAACAGTCAAGGAGTTTTAATAACAGAAATGAACAATTTTAATATTTTAGCCACTTGAGATTGTACCAAGATGTTTGACTGATAACGAATATTTCCACCAATAATACAAGGACTTTGTACCAGAAAGGAAGAATTCAAATTAACTATCAATTTTCCATAAAATTTTCAAACGTGTGGTACAAGAGAGGCTCCTCAAAAACTTTCTATCGTTTATATATGCCCAGCTACAGTTCATACAAGTAGTTTTATACCATCAACTTGCGCAGGCAACACCCTACCATGAGCTAGCTCTTCAGGTGGACGACCCCCCTGACGACCCCCATTGTTTGTTAGACCACCCCTCAACTTTATCTATCACCCCCTCTTGACCCCTCTTTTCCATATATTAAGTACCCTCATTTTTCACCCCCTGATCTTGATATTTATACCCGGGGTGGGGTTCATCCGGCGGCCGCTTCTCTCCCCGACCACCATAGCACGATAGTATCTACCCACCCCCACCTTCTCCTGAAATATCCCATTGCAGGGTGGGTGTTGGGCATCCCAAGGTACCCCCGAATTAAAATACCCCACCCGTCCCCCCGCAGCTATGAAGAGACTGGCAAGATACTGTACTCTCCTGCAGTGTAAATTTGCAGATAAATGTGCAAATCTGTCTATAAAGTTTGAAATATATGAAATCATTTAAAATATTTTGAACTGGAAACAACCCTCTGTGGGAAAACAAGAAACAACTGGACATGGCGCGAAAGGAGGCGCTTGCGTTTTTGCCGGTGAGTTGGATGCGATGATAGAGCTCTTGCAACAGCACAGCATTAGATGCACATGAAATGTCCATGTATATGATTCAGACAAGACATAGCTGAACCTTCAGCTCATGTAGGTGGTATCAGGAGCATAGATTGGCTTAGATCCAGCAAAGCGCCCATGCTCACTCCAAATATACATTGTTTTGGTCAATGGCAGTTGTGATGACAGGTTGCAGACGAGATTGAGCATAGATTTTACTTTGATGAGGATGGGTTAGAATATTGATCCTTTCGTCAATTGCAAAAAATTGCATGTTCAGCACAAGGTCCACGTAGGAACAAAACCAAACAACGCGCATAGGCATTTGGATACCACACCAACGAGCCCAGGATTGCTTTCAGTCACTAATTGCTATACATCAGGATTCTGAAATTGCGGGTCACTGGCTGTACAGATCCTTCCAGTTTGTTATTTGTTGGTATGGCCAAGTTCTGCATTCATTCTCGGTGGTGGGATGGGAAAAGCTGCCCAAGGATGGACCAGCCCTCCTGGTATCCCTCCACACCACTCACAGTGGAGACATCGGTCTTTGTCTCCTCCATGCTCAGCAGGTTTCTGGTCGGGTGGTTCGTGGCCTCTTGCACCGAATGCTCATCAGTGTACTGGGTTTCCTTCGCTACTTTGGAGCAGTCCCTGGCTACAGGGACACGGCGTACGAGCTCCTGAAGAGCGGCAACTGGGTGGCAGTAGTGCCTGGAGGAGCAGAAGAGATAATGGCACACTCTACGTGCAATGGTCGCTCTGCTTACGTGGTCTCCTGGGTGTCGAAGTCCGGCAAGAAGCGAGCAGGCTTCGCTCGGGTAGCACTCAAGATGGGGAAAGGCTTTCAGATCTTTCCATGCTTCTGTGAGAATGGAGAAGAGATGAAGTTCAACCTCTTCTTCGAGCTCTGGACCTTCCTGCGCCTCGATATCTTGGTGGGAATCATCATCCGCCTGACTCCTGACCCCATGCGGTGGTTGCTGATGCAGCTGGCTATCATCATCACCTTCAATGTCTCCTGTCTGTCTCTTCCCCTCCCAGTCAAGGTGACGCAGCATATCGGAGATCCTGTGATTGTGCAGGAAGATGACACGGAGGAGACCCTTGCAGAGCGAGTGGAGAAGAGTCTTCAGTCACTGATTCAAGAGAAGCAAGGGAGAACACACCGTTCGTTCATCAGTGCGTTGCAGTCAAGCATGAAAGAGCAATCCTTCAAGCTTGAATGACAGCTCCACGATTTTTCACCCTGGTCGTGTCTTTACCAGCGCTGCCGCTGTCTCGGCGTGTGGACTGAGTCTTGCTATCCGATCCGCAAGGTACGGTAACCTTGCGGTTTTTGTTGGCACTTGTAAGCAAAATTTTGTATCATAATGGTTATAATCAAATATGTTTAGTTCAAGCTGCACAGTCAATTATTGCAGGGTCTTCAAGTTCTCGGTGCAAGGATGGTTTCATCACTGTGACCGGCACTGAGCAATTAGCGGCTCGCCGACTTGCCAAGTTGACTCAACAGCATTCTCATGACTCAGTGATGTGGCTGAATCACGGAGTCAAGTGAGATCCCGGTCCCCGGTCGGATCAGACTGTCACCCGACAGATCAGCCTCGGGATCAGACCATGAGGGTATGGAACTTCGGCCCACCCGACTTGAATCGCTCACAGCCCACATCCCCGCACAAGCCCACGGACTTCAAACAAGTTTAAACTTCTTTGTGGCGCGCCGCCTGCAAAAACGATCAGTTGGGGGTGGTCGTCCTCGAAGTACCCCTATGACCCCTAATAATTATCTCATAATAACCGGTGCAAGGATGGAAGAACGGATCAGGGGGTATTCGGGTGGAGATTTACAGGGGGTTTGCCCTTCCCTATCCACTTGCTCATCTGGTCCCTCCTGTCCTCTCGATCTTGAGTGCAGCTGTCCTCCTTGTTGTCTGTTGAGCCATGAGCTTTCCTTTTCAGAACAACGATAACATGCTTGAAGATGTAGCAGCATCGCCTGATCCTTGGCAGAATGGCAGAATGGAGCCATCCCCCAGACTCCTTGATCCTGATAATGTTGTTTTTTCGCCGTACCTAGAGTCTGATGATTCCGCTGAATTGAGGCTGAATTCAATTACGACGCTTTCATCATTTGAGTATGGGTGTTTAGAAGTTGCTGAACAACCTTTCGATTTATTGCACCCATCTGAGTCTCCATCGAACTATGCATTGGTACAAAGGGTTGAAGAAAGGACGAGGATGGAATGGTGCACCAACCGTGAGGATCCAAATACTACGCAAAGTATTGCGGAAGGAGACAATACTCCACAAGAAAGTGCCAATGATCCACAGATAGATAGTCCAGACCATCAGACCAGCATGTCCTTTTTTTCAGAGGAAGGTCATTCCGATCTTGAGATCTTTCCTGAGCAGCAGGATCAGAACGTCACGGACTTTCAAGGCGGCGACACTGAGCTTTACTCTGCAGGATGGCTAAACGCTGATCCGTCATCTGAGTTCAAATCCATACCGCATCATTTCTGGCCGGGAAAGCTCTGACCGAGGAGCAACAAGAAGTGCATGCGAATGAAGGGGCAAGTGGCTCTCAACCCCTTGAGCAAGCTCCGCCACCAGAACAAACGGCGGACGTCAAATCAAATAAGGCCAAGAGAGCGAGAGCAGGACAGCAGATATGGGTCCAAAAGACAGATGAAATCAAACTTGAGTATAGGAAGAAAATCTCTGAATCGCCGATGAAATTGATCTTTGAGCAGCAGCTGGCTGAGTGCAGAAGCCAGGGTCGCAGAAATCAGAAGCAAGGCTTTCTTATGCGCCTGCATATCTCCATGGTCGAGGGATGGGTAGAGCCTCTTGAAATTGTCGACCCAAAAGACAAGGCCTCTTTCTTTGGATGGAAAGGTTTCACCGTTATCCCTCGACATTCTGAGAATTTCAAGAAAAGGATTCTTCAACTCTTTCTAGATGAGAAGGCAGGAGGGAATGCCAAAGTACCCAAGCAAACTGTGCATAACATGTTTCGCAATACGAAGTTGATTCCTAAGAGAGGAGGCTGGGATCTGGCTTTCAAAGGAGAGACCAGTTTCAAGTTCAAAAAGAGGACAAACCCAAGCAGAGAAAACGAAAGCAACACAGACGACCAGGACGATAAATAGCCATTGAAGATCGGATAGCTGTGCCCCGGTATCAAAAGTAAGATCGAAGACTGGTATTCTCGATGCTGAGTAATAAAGGAATAAGACGATCGTTCCCCTACTCCAGAGATCAATTGTACGAAATGAGAATTGTTGCAGGATGTAACGATGTGCACAAGCATATAAAATGAGTTGGGAACTGTCTTCTCTACGAAACCAACAGATGATAATGCGATTTTCCATACAACAAGATCAAGCATACGGCAAAAAAAAAAAGAAAAAAAGAAATCATGATACAATGACATGACGAGCATTCAAAGATTCTTCGTGAGCAAAGGCGTAATTCATTATTGTACACTTCAATCTACAGCAAAATCTCGTACACCGGAAACATACATGTCAATTTCAAATACTACTATACAACAAGTACATCCTTGCGCTTGCGCTCACGCTCTGAGCTTCCTGAGCGCCCTCGCCTGGCATGGCAGCTCCCGCCCGTCTACCGAGCCCCCCGCCGCTTGCTGCTCCCGCTCGATGTACGCGATGGCGCCCGCAAGGCACGCCAGCCGCTTCCTGGCGCCCGCCGAGAAGCGAGAGTACACCCGCTCGTCCATGCCGAAAGGCGCCGCGGCGCCCGACTTGCTGCCAGCAGCGTCGCGGGAGATGGGGGAGGAGGAGAGGGAGGGTCTGGAGGCGGGATGATCGTCGCACGTGGGCTGCATGGCGGAGGTTGATGGGGAAAGAGAGTTGGGTGGCGGAGGAGACGCGGTGGGAATATATACTCCGAGGTCACGGAGGGAGGGGCCGAGATTGACCGGCAGGGTCTGCGAAACGATGCGAGATTGGCGTGAGAGTCACGATGTCCGCATGGCAGGCCAAGGCTTGATGAGGTGCCCCGCGTGACCTGGTGACAGGCGAGGGAGACGGAGGGTGTGTTTTCACGTTGGTTGGGACGAAACAGCTTTTTGAGGAGCCCAAACGACCCGTATCTGGAGATGTATCACGCGTACCCCATGGCCTCATGACAACTCCTTCAGCTCCTTCGCGTCGCCTACTCTCTCAGATACGCTATCTTGATCCTGTTGCCGATGGCGCACAGCGCTACTTCATCTGTCCCATCCTCCTGCGACTCAGAGCCACGAACCAGCGATGGCTTCCCTACTCGGGATGAAGGGCTTCTGTCACGCCTCTCGCCACAGAGAAGGAAGAGGCTGGCGTGCCTTGCGGGCGCTATCGCGTACATCGAGCGAGAGCAGCAAGCGGCGGGGGGCTCGGTAGACGGGCGGGAGCTGCCATGCCAGGCGAGGGCGCTCAGGAAGCTCAGAGCGTGAGCGCAAGCGCCAGGAATGTACTTGTTGTATAGTAGTATTTGAAGGATGTTGCTGTATATAAAGAAACGTGGACTATCACTTTTCTGGTCGGTTGCACGACGATCACAACGTGTGATGCATATCTTGGATGGGGCTGTGAAAGGCTGATACATCAAGGCCCTGTTTCGTCAGGGAGCTGTTTCTTTTCTCTTCTCGGCCGTACATGACAGGTATTTGGCAAGACAGCAAGGTGAACCTCCGGACACGATATCCCTTCGACTGGTTGATTGCACAACGAGCTTAAAAATGGCGGTCCGGTCCTGGCGAGGTCCCCGGCCAGTCAGAGCTTAGCAACACTGTTATCATACATCAGTCTGCTCCTTGTAGCTGGTCTCAGCTCAACCATAGCATCTGGC